ACCCCAAACTTCCCCCCCCCCCAGTGAAAGTGATTTATGGAAATATATACAAATGGGGAAAATCGTGCTGAACAGAAAGATTACCTAGCAGACCTGATTCACACTCCCTCCTCCTGCCTTGCTGTACCTTCCTATTTTAAATGTACCGAGCCGAGTATCCAACACAGGCTGAAGTACAGTCCGCCATAAGAAGTACTAGGAGTGCCCTTGAAAAACGTCTAGATTGCAGCTAGTGCACAAAGGACCTCGCTATGTAAATAAATGCATGAGAATTTCTCTCTCGCTCTTGACCCGGCAGCAAGTGAAGAGATTAACTTCCCATCAACATCGGAAGACAAATCGTTGGTAAGAAACAAGCGAAGTTTCAGAGAAGAAAAGGAAGAAGGCTGAGACTAGATTTCAGCTGGTTTAGAATGGAAAAAAAAAAAAAAAAAAAAAAAAAAAAACAAAACCAGAGAAAGAGAAACGGCTTGTTCAAATCATTCTGAATGTTCTACTTCGTATTTCTCTTCCCCCAAAAAACGCTCGGCAGAGCTAAGCAGCAGTGCTACACGAAATAGGCAAGAGCGGTCAGATACTAACTGCCGTAGGTAGGAGAAAGCAGACATCCCCCCTTGCCTTGCTACACAGAAGGCGACGCTGCAGATTTCCCACTCCGCTACCAAAAAGCAAAGCAGAACCAGCATCTGGGGCGGGAGGGGGGGTATTAACTGGGAACTTGTTGTTCCTTAAATATGTAAGCGAGACTTTTTTTCTTCCCACGCCCCTCTTTTTTCCATCTTCTCTGCCAAAACAGGCCGAAATAAACGTTATTCCATAATACTATTATATAAGGAGTATAAGACTTACCATATCAGCTGGAACGCTGCTGGACATCTTGACGTTACCCTAAATGGCTTAAAATCAACTTAAAAGAAAAAAAAAAAAAAGGCAAAAAAAAAAAAAAAGCACCAAGAACAACCCGCCGGAGATCTTCAAGAAGCAAAATCGGTGTCAATGTCGGAGGCAGCAACTTCCACGTCTCCTACGAAAAAAGAAGTGCCCTATGTGCAGCGGGGACGGCGGCCGGCTGAGAAGGAGAAATATCCAGGGGCAAGCGGTGCCGGGGCTGTACCGGAGGAGCCAGCGGGAGACCAGAGATGGCAGCAGATCCCTGTCAGCAGCGGCGGCAGCAGCAGCACCAGCGGTGCCAGGTAGACCAGGCAGGACTACACCGCCACATGAGCTGCGTGCGGGCTTTTTCCCCCCTCTCTCCCTCTTCCTTCTCCCAGCCTTGACAAATGACGACGGGATGATTCACGGGATAATGGTGCGTCCGAGTCACCTCCTCAGTCAGCGCAGGCGACCCGGGAAGGCAGGCAGGCAGACAGGACCTCGCTCCTGCCCTCGGCAGCAGGGCAGGGAGGCGGGAGGGCCGGGGTGGACCCGCGGCCGCTAGGGAGGACGCC